TTCGGTGGCCTTGGGTAAAAACGTACGTACGGGATCCATAAACCAAACTAGAGGAACTCGTTTGGGGATACCACCCAACCTGACAGTTAGTAATCTACTGTTCAGTTTTCTGGATTTGTACATTAAGCGAAGGCTAGTTTAAGAGTTGGTAAATAAATTGGAATATGTACCTTAAACTAATGACCTAGCTTAAGAGTTGGTTAGAAGTACCTTAAACTAGAAATAGTTTAAGAGTTGGTAATCATCAAATCTTTTAGACTAAGCTTAGTTAAAGATATTGTTGAGCATTGAATGTTGAATATTGAAAAATGGAAAATATCATGAATGAATTATATATTGTGTGCATGACATCAAATGGTTGTTTGTGAATTGAGATTCAATTTATATGGATGTTCGACGCATTAGATATGCTTACTCAGCTTAAACGCTGAGCGTGTAGTATGTTTTATTTGCTACACGCAGGTAAACAAAAAGAATGAAGAGATGATCTCCTGGAGGCAGATGGGATGAGAAGATCGGACGGATGTGTGTTTTGCATTAAAATTACTGTTGAAAAGACAAAAATGAATTATGTTTGTATTATGCTTCCGCAACATTAAATTACTCCGTTACTATTTTGAATTATTCATTATGAAATAAAGTTTTAAATATTTGAAATATTTTAAATGTTTACGAATACTAAGTTTATACTTTAGTCCGAAAAGGGCTGCAGATCTGGACGGATTAGGGTGTTACATTTTGAACAAAAAGATAAAACCCACTCGCACGGGTATTAATCAAAACAATGATAGTATACTCTATATATTTACATGCCAAGGCTCAATTAAGAACATGACCATAGATAATGTTTTGAGGTCAATGACTGAAGTGGTAATGAAACGCATATATGGGAGTAGTTCTTTGTGCACTAAGGGCCTTGCTCCCCGGAGTTTTTTGATGATCTTTACTTGAATGCATAATGACATGTAGTTGAGAGCTAGTGGTGTTGAATCAATGTTTTTGGAAGATAGTTTTGCAAAAAATATTTAAAAAATAATTTGGGCAGGGATGAAGTACTCTGCATTTGTTTAGAAAATGAGTGGAACTTACCATTATATCCCTAGTGGTTACTACTACCTCCGTCTCATAAAACTCTTACGTCTGACCTCCATGCAGCTTAAGAAAAGTGGTGGAATGTGAAAAGGTTTTATGAGCCACATACTCCTATCCTTAGAATGTGAAAAAGGAAAAAGTGAACTCTTATGGGACAGGGGTAGTACTTATGCTGAATTTGTAAGGGCATGTTGGTAAATTTCACAATCAAATGCCTTACCTATCCATGTCACTATCATTCCTTATAATATATTCTTGCTTAGGAAATTGAGTGGAGTATTAGGACATCATAGAGAAGAAAGAGAAGCAAAGCAAGAAGAATCGAAGGGATAATGAGAGAAGTTTTTCCGCCGAAATTGTACTTCTATATAGATAGAGCAAGGCTTCAAAGTTAAGAGAACCTAGCTCCTACACAATATGCTTAATATTGTATCATGATTATTTTAGATGCACAGGAACATGCATGAAAAGGATATGTAATTACATGTACGCAACAACAAATCGGTATAAATTCTCTCTCCAACAACAAAAAAGGATTATCCACTCTACACACACACACACACACACATATATTCTCTCTCCATTTATATTAATTAATCTATACAATATGATATAAAGTTAGTAATATATAGACCACCATCATAAATTGCATAGTGATGTGAAATCGTTTCGTACTAAAACAGAGTAAGAGATATATTTTAGGTGTTTGTTCATCATATCTTACTCCAGCTTTGAACTTTGACACCATGTTATCATCATCTCCAAACTCAAATAACTGACTCAAGAATCGCATACACAAAACGTGCAAGTATTGTTGAATTCTAGGTGTGTGTGAATATGTAAGGCATGGAAATGCGTACCCTGTGCTGCCACATTCAACTCACGCAGTACTTTTCCCTTTTTGGTAGATGAACCATCTGTATCATCCACATCCAGCTCTGGGAGCAATTTTCTCTTTTGAGAGTGCAGCAACTGGGACGAATGTGTTTGCTCGGGGGGAAGCTCCATGGAAAAACTTCACTGCAATAAGTTAAAAATAGAGAAGGATGTGGTTGCATAAGTCTTGAATACACATAAACCCTCCTACAAAGAAACCATTGATAATTGAAATAAAATGGAAAAAAGCAAAGTATTGTACTTTTCCCTCAAGTATACTCGAGAACTGACAATAGAAATGGGGGTTTTCAGCATTTTATATCTCTAATCATAGGGTGGGAATAAGAATGGTTGAGATAGAGAGCATTCATTAAAAAATCCAATGTTAAATCACATTCTACATTTCTACTCTACACTTTGAATCAAATGACTGTGCATCCCGGGAAATATATGAAACAATTCGTTGAGGGCCGTAAGACTCCAGCGTTCACAGCGAGACAATCAAACGACTATGATTATTAACAGAGCCCATAAGAGTAAAACGGAATCACAACAATTTATTCATATACAGTTTTGCCGATAAGAGGAAGAAGAAGAAAAAAAGGAAGCGGCCATACCTGGGAGTCCCATGAATTCATACACGAATGCTGTTCGATGCCTCCATATCTCTTTCTTTCAGATTGCTGAATGCCTGATTCCGATTTCCAGATCTGTGAGCGGGAAGCACTGTGGATCTATTTGCCTAGTTTTACGACCCAGCCTAGAAATTTACGTACTTTGAAACTGAATCAAATAATTTGGTTTGGTTTTTCATTTTTCTAAAAATTGATTTTTTTTGGATGTGAAGCACCTGCGAAGATAGTGAGGCTTGACACTGGTGAATGGTCCAAAGTTGATTGAAATTGAAATAAATGTTTTATTGACAAATGCTTTTGATGATGTTGTTCTTAAAGGCTTCCGCAAAAATTGATTATGTTATTCCAATTAAACTATGTTTGTTTTTAAATAAAAATGATTGGGGTGTTTTATTTTAAATATTTTTTTAAATATTGTACATGTAAATACCAAATTAGTAGCAACTCGATTCGCTATCTCGTAGCTTCGGTTTGCGGATTGGAATGTCACATCTTCTCCACATTACGTTCATGGTGCCTCGACCAACCTTCTAAAATGGCATAGAATAGCTAGACATTGGCATTTCTAGAGATCGTATGCTTGACATAGTTGCCACCAGCACAATTGTCAGGAATCGAACTCGAGTCTTATCTCCATGACATTCCTTACTTTTGTCAATTGTTTCACGTCCACCAACAAACTTAAAGTATATATTTTCTATTAAAAACGATAAAAATAACCAACTCACTAAAGGTCTGCTTGGATGAATTTTAAAATTTGATACTATGTAACATTGGGAACACAGAAGAAATGGCTGTAAGAAATTTGAATTCATGGCATTTTGAGAAAGATTACCGGTACAAGGACTTTCTTAAAACTCATTTAAAAGTTACTTAAATAAAATTACCATAAAATTTATTTTCTTATGCACTATTCACATAATCAAACTTTATTTATTATTTGTCTATTTTTATTATCCATTTGATAAATAAGTCATTTTATTTAATTTGCTAATTCTTTTGATGTTTTAAAAATACCAATATGTAATTTTTTATTTTTAGATCTGACACGATTTTTTATATAAAATGATTTGAAAAATAATTTTAATCAAATATCATAACACATCAAAAGAATATAATTTTTGGACATAGTAATTACTCCCTTGTCGTATATTGATCTTATCATTAGTGAAGATGGTGCAAATGTTGAAAACATACGGAAATCAAGTCCCGCCTCCGTTTACTTGAAGCCGTTAACTCTTAAAGAGGTGACTATTTGTATTGATGGTGAATTGCATGACGAGGTTGAAGCTGCTAAGAATGCGATGGAGGTATAGCTGTATAAGATATTATTATTTGATACAAGTATTTGTGGTTATCATTATCGTATCGTTTTCCTCTAGGTTGCTCTACTCATGAGGATGGCATGAGGTCTATAGAATGAGAACACATGGTTTGCGACTTTAGTTGAAGCGGAGAGTTATTTGTTTGCAGAATTTGATTCCAGAGGACCGAAAGAAAGATGGAAAACGCGTTTTCGAGGAAATGGTTACGAAAAGGCGTCGGGTTTCAGCTAAAGATATCATTTGGGTAGCCTTATATAACAAGTTGAGAAATGGCTCCTTTGTGGTAGAATAGAGTCTCTTTTATTTACCCTATAGCTTCTTGAGTGATTAAACTGTATATTTTGTTTTATTAGGGGGTGCAATTTATCTTGGGTACTGAATACGATTGAAGAGGTAGTTAGGGTATGTTTTGGGAACAATTTCAGAAGTTTACTCTCCTCAATTTGGTTTTAATATGTCCAAAAATTATCTTCTTTTGATGTGTTATGATATTTGATAATTTTGAGGAGAGTAAGCTCCTGAAATTGTTCCCAAAACATACCCTAACTACCTCTTCAATCGTATTCAGTATCCAAGATAAATTGCACCCCCTAATAAAACAAAATATACAATTTAATCACTCAAGAAGCTATGGAGTATGGGGTAAATAAAAGAGACTCTATTCTACCACAAAGGAGCCATTTCTCAACTTGTTATATAAGGCTACCCAAATGATCTCTTTAGTTGAAACCCGACGCCAATTCGTAACCATTTCCTCGAAAACGCGTTTTCCATCTTTCTTTCGGTCCTCCAGAATCAAATCCTGCAACAAACAAACAAATAACTCTCCGCGTCAACTAAAGTCGCAAACCATGTGTTCTCATTCTATAGACCTCATGCCATCCTCATGAGTAGAGCAACCTAGAGGAAAACGATACGATAATGATAACCACAAATACTTGTATCAAATAATAATATCTTCTACAACTATACCTCTATCGCATTCTTAGCAGCTTCAACCTCGTCATGCGATTCACCATCAATACAAATAGTCACCTCTTTAAGGGTTAACAGCTTCAAGTACACGGAGGCGGGACATGATTTCCGTATGTTTTCAACATTTGCACCATCTTCACCAATGATAAGATCAATATACGACAAGGGTATTGGTTTGGACGCCAAAACCTGCAAAATGGGCAAACTTTTGGGTCAATCTGTACATACATACGAACAGTATATTGCAAGACAGCCTTGCAGGAAAGAGAGTAGATTTTACAGTGTCTTCGTAGTTTCATCCCAAAACCATGTGCAGACATTACACGATTTGATGGGTGAATACCATTCTGCAAAGAACATGAATGAGTAAATGAAAGAAAAATTAACCCATTCAACCAAGTAGAACCCATTATGTATAGACTTTTGAAATTGATCTTACGGTAGCTTTGAGTTCAAAGACCATGCTCTCATCAACCCTAAACTCTCTGAGATCAGAGTAAACTGATAGCATTATCTCATCTATGTGTCGACGATCCTCTTCCACCTCAATGATTACATCACCAGAGGATAAAAATGGAATGTTATCTGCAAAAGATTATGCCAACAAATAAGAATATGAGATAGTAAACCATCAATGTCTACCTTGTTAATTCTTGTGCCACTCCCCCATGTCCCAAAATAAGTGGGGCAGAGGGAGTAATTAACAAAGTTATTAATGGCATAAAAATAAACACGCCAGGTGTATGTATGGCATACCTGTTAGATAGATAACAGGTTTGTGTGAATGGGAGTTGATTGTCTGGAGAACAATCAACTTTTTTGTATGTGCAGCTGGTACAAGTAGCCTTATCAAATACCGCCCCTTCAAACAACTCATACGGAGCAAGAACATATCGTAAATCGCGTGGAAAACATGCACAGCATTTGTTTTAGACCGCCAAGAGTCTTCTTTGGCCGATACCATTACCTATGCTCAAGTTTAAAATGCATCACACACAACCTAAACTCCGATAATAAAAATGATCATTCTACTTCCACTAGCGCAAAGTGAGTTCAATAACAACAGAATTCAACTAATAAAGCATCAGAGAAAATTGAGTTCATACATGCCCACAACCAGATAATTCCTCCATAAAGAGAGGAAAATAAAAATCATGCAATAATGAGAGCATATGCAGGACATTTAGAGCTTGAAACATACATAAGACCGTGCAAAAAAACACCAAGTCACCAACTCTTTGAGATGGTAAGCTTTGGCATGAGATTTGATTGAAACCCGCCCATGCATAAAAAAAAAGGAGGGAGGCAGGGAATGGAGAAAAATAAAACAAAATGAAGATAAAATACTTTGAGGGGGTACATTAGAATGACTAGCTAGATAGCTTCACGACAGAAATTCCACTCCCACATTCCGTCCCCAAGACAAAAAAGCACTGCAGTTCATACTAGGCCAAAACAATATTTACACCCATTTTGTTTAAAGAAAAATCACTGATGCAACATTCTATGTATGCATTTACACCCCTAAGTATTCTGGTAAGAATTCAAGAAATGTAGAAATAAATCAAGAGGAATCATAACAGGAAAACACAGTCATTATAGAGAATAAATACAGTCATTATAGAGAATAAAAGTAGACATAATCTGAGAGACCAATCAAACAAGTCTAACCCCACCTTAACACCCAAGCATAAGCAATTTAATAAAACAAGAATGAAACATAAAAAAAAATTGACAGATAATAATCTGGTTTTACTTACAATTCCAGCTTCATAGAAGTCCACACCAACGTTGTCCTTCTCAAAATATTGCTTCAGCACATTATTGTAACGATCAATACAACCGTCAGCCGGTGCGGGAATCATCATCCTGAAAATAATCCACCCTAGACATTTTCCACGATCAGCAACAGATAAACCAAATTAGTCTTTCCGAGATACGAAAGATAATATTTGAAGTTTAGAAAGTTTTATAAATCTGGAAACAAATGAACCTATTAGAGACAGTAAGGGAAAAATATTTAATCCGTTGGGAAAAGCATCACAGCACTTGCCCTTTCACATTTTCTGATGCACAAATTAAATCATTAAAATCTTTGATTATGTTTAAGTAAAGCTTATAAAAGATAGTCATGTGTGTGTATGTTTGTGAATAAAAAAAAGTTGGGACCGTTGCGAATATTTTGAAATCAAGTGTGTGTGTGTGTGTGATTATACATACATACATACATCCATACAAATTTACTCTATATGAGTGGATTTCCAAATTTACTCTATACACACACACACACACACTAATGACAATGTAAATACAAATTTACTCTATCTATATATATTAATGTCTTCATCATCCTTTATGGGGATCAACATCCTAAAGACAATCCACTATATACAATTTTCATGATCATTCACCAATAAACTGAACTAGTGTTTGGCAGGCACAAAAGGTAACATTTGAAGCAGACAAGTGTAAAACTTTTAGAAGGAACCCATAAGATGTGTGTGTGGACTTGCATATACAAGACGGATATGGAAAAATGCATACACAAAACGTGCAAGGATCGTTGAATCGTGTGTGTATAGTGTGTAGGGCATGGAAACGCGTACCTTTTTTGGTAGATGAACCACCTCTGTTATCCACATCCGGCTCCTGGAGCCGTTTTCTCTTTAGAGGCCGTTTAAACGGGCGGAAATATGTTGAATCGAGGGGTACATAACAATCCTGAAATAAGTTACATATAGAGATGGAAGTGGCTGCAGAAGTCTTGAAAACACTGATATACTTTGAGAAGTGGGGGTTTTCAGCATTTTTTTTATATCTAAATAAGAATGGTTAAGCTAAATAGCATTCATATAAAAAAAATGCAGTGTTACATCAAATTCTACTCGACACTTGAACTTGAATCAAACGACTGTGATTACTAACAGACCCGACAAGAGTAAAAAGGAATCACAACAATTTATTCCTATACAGTTTTGCGGATAAGAGGAAGAAGAAGAAAATGAAGCGGCCATACCTGGGATTCAAATATATTCCTGCGAAGGCCGTTCGATGTCGGAAACGGACAGACCTAGGATTCGCATGGATTCTTACGATTGACGTTCGGTGCCTCCATATCCCTTTCTGGAATCGCCGTTCGATGTCCGATTGCCAGACCGCCTGTGACCGGGAAGCCGTGTGGATTTACTTGCCCTAATTTTACGACCCGAACCGACTACTTACATTTGGTCCACTTTCTCATTCTTTTTCGTCTAGACAAATCACTTAAATGATGTGTGTACATATAATCTAAAGAAATTTCATAACAAAATTTAAATCTCAATACATTTTTTTATATTCCTTGTTATATATCTATAGAAATTATAATTATTAAAAAAAAGTTATGGAATACATTGAATCATAAAGTTTCTCTTATTAAAATTATTGAATATACTATTAAGAACAATAAAGCACTTAGTTTCTTTAATCTTTATCTTTATCTTTATATATAAAAAAGGAGAGTTAAACTCCTAGAAATTTGACATGTGAAATGTCTACTAGGCTATTTTTTACATGTCATCTTCCATCACATTTAAAAAATTGATATGTGGCAATATCTATGTGACACTTCTTTTTGACAAATTATCATTTATTTTTGTAAGACAATAAAAAAAATAATTTGTTAGAAATTTATGAAAGCCAACCAATTACAAGTTGAGTAAATATATAACATAAATAAAAATATTTAACATTCACTCAAAAAAACAATTCAACATGAGATTAAATTAAAATTTTAATTTTTTAGGGTGTAGAAAGTAGCTGAGATATATGTTGAGTTAAACTTAAGAAAATTGAAGATAATTGTGCCCATTTAGTGATTCAGTCCAAATTAAAATGTTTTATGGGACAAGCAAAATGTGAAAGTAACAAAATTGACATGTTTTAATATAACAACTACAACCCAGTTAAATCCCACAAGAGTAGGGTCTGGGGAGGGTGTGTGTACGCAGACCTTGCCCCTACTTGAAAGTAGAGAGGCTGTTTCCAAAGAGACCCCCGGCCCCGGCTCAACGACGAAAGTTGCATTGCTTGACTGCTACTTCATTAATTAAAGATGCGCAGACAGTTTAAAGATCCATTTTGATTTATTCCATCACACCCCAAAGCCAAAAAATGGTGAAACTTTGGCTCCATCGGAGATGATGGAAATAATTAAATTAAAAAAACCTAAACTACATTAGATTTTAAAAAAAATACTATCTCCATCCGAGAAAACTTTTCTAGTTTTGACTTTTGTTATCGAAAAATATAGAAATTTAACCAAGGTAAAATGACGATAATTGAAATATATTAGATTCGAAAATGTCAAAATCGGTAGTTCGTATTGTGTTCTTTTAAGCACAATTAAAATATTTTATGCAAAGAGTAAAAAAAGGACAGAGGGAGTACATGGTTAAGGCATTACTCAAATAAAGAAAATAAAACATGATAGCAACTAAAAGATAAAAACTTAGTGTAACCCTACCTGAGGTACACTAAGTCTACACCAAGGCATAAATGGGCGCACACAAATACTTAATTGCGCACCCCTAGAGAACAAATGTTTTTGTGTATCTATTTATGCCTTGATGTACACCAAGTGGAATTTCGCTAACACTTCTCTTCGGAGTGTGCAAGTTAATTAGTGTCAAAAGTTTCTCATATAATAGAGTATTTTATTTGATTCTATACTTTTAAGAGATTAAGGAGAGTAGATTATTTTTGGAGTTAGCTTTCAAAATTTGATATAATAAAATTTTGATAGTATTTTAGGAGTATTTGATTTTACTTTATTTCGAAATTTCACTTTCGATCATGCTTTTTATACTCTTCCCTTCTCAAAATTATCGTTCTATTTTGAACAATGTAAAAAATTGTATCTATTTATTACAAATTTATTTAGAAATAAAAAGTAAAACCTACATATTCAAAAATTACATAAAAAATTATATCGTTTAACTTTTTCTTTACATCAGACGGAGATCGACTTTTGTAGAACAAAATTAAAATATCGATCTAGAACAAAATTATTTATTCAATAATGAGTGGAATATTATTATACTAATCGCCCTCCTCAGCTCCATTATATATATATATATATATTCATAAATTTATTTTCTCTACTACTAGTACTCGTTGAATTGCATTATATTTCTGGTCCTTCCCTAATTCTGCAACAACAAAGACCATATGGATCATTGTTGAAATGATAGCAGTGTCCGCCGCCATGTTCCTTGCATGGGATGACGCAGTCAGCATTTACGTCACAAAATATGTGGGTACTGCATGGGAATATTTGACCCTTCGCAGTCATTGTTGGACCTTTCAAAGAGAACACACCAGAAAAAAAAAGTGATGGAAATTTGCAATTAATCACATGTTATCTAAGGTCTTTTGTCAAACTTTAATTCACATTCTTAGTTATATACTCTCTCCCTTTCTTAAAATCATTCTTATTTTGAATTTGGACCAAAATAAAGAAAGTGTAATTTTGGTTGAATTTCCAATTTTGCTCCTGATGCGATGGGTAAAAGTAAGATGTGATAGTTTGATTATTAGTGAAAACGTATGATGTGATAGATAAAATATGAAAAAGTATGGGTAAAAATGATTTTTAATAGAAAGTGGAAGTATTTTAAAGAATTGTAAAAAACCGAAAGAAGAAAAGTTTTAGGGATCATGAAAGTCGTCCCACCATTATTGGAGCGAAAGGGGTAAAATGAAGCCTTCATAATATAATGTTGGTTGCTTCTTGATGTTATTATTTGTTGTTATACTCCTCCCTCCGTATATAAATATATGACTCCATTATTTGTCTCCCTTGTTATATACTCCCTATAGTAGTGTTAAAATGGTTATATTCATTTTCACGGCGTGGTGATGATGATATTTAAGGAGCATTATTAAAGTCATATATAGGCTATTATTATATTTATTACCGATACAACCATCATATATTGATGAATTTCAAATTTTTTCCATTTTGGCCGTTAATTAAATGAGAAAAAGAAAGAAAATAAAGAAAAAAATTGCAAAAGCAACGTAGAAATGGAATTAGGCGCGCTAGCGAGCACATGCATGCAATTGGACTCATTTGCGGCCAATCATCTCCAAATGGGTTTAGAAGACGTTGAAAAAGTCCAAATTGAGATACTTTTTCTCTTGAGATGGTGCACCATGTTCATGGTGGCAATTGCACCTCTTGCACACCCAATTGAACCACAGGCCTGAATACATTCTTTTAAAAATGGATGGAGTTTACTCACTAATGGACTAATGGTACTTATGTAATAGCGGCCAAATTTGTAAAATGTTGAAAAGTTTGTTATCGGCCTGTTTAGGAATATCGTTAGCGTTTTAAAAAGGCTATCTACAGGCAGCGTTTAGTGTTAGCGTCTTTAAAGTAATCTGCACCGTTAAAATTTTATTCAAAACTCTAACTGTTAGGACATGTATTTTATGTATAATAGCAACATTCATTGCATTGAGCTACTTAGGTTGGACTCCTCGTGTGTATCACCGGGAGGACTCTTCGTTTGTATCACCGATGTATATTTATATCGTTTTTGTATCAATGGAACAGGCCATTCAACGTCCTATAGTTTCTACATGGTATCGGAGCATCTTTCTTGGGATTTTCCCTAAACCTAGTTTTGTTCGTCCGTGTTCCGGTCGGTGGTTATTGTCTCTGTTGTGCGTCTCCGTCCAAGACGCCGGCCTAAGTCGCAATCATCCGTCCTTGTGCGGTCGCGGGTCTCTGTCCCAGACATCGGGTCGCCAAAATCTTCGTCCGTCTCTAGTGCTGAACAAATCTTCATCCGTCCCATCCGTCCAAGTCAGCCGGCACAATTCCGTCCCAACCGTCCAGATCCGTCAAAATTCAGATTTCCGAAGTTCACCGTCCTTGGCGAAGCCTAATTGAAAGGAGGAGAACCTCAATTATTAAAGTGGAGATCCAAATCTTAAGGGATAATTTCAAGAAGGCATAATTTTTATCATCATTTCAGCCACCATTTAGCCGTACAGGGGGGAGGTTCTCAATTCCAAATTAGCAACTTTCACCCATATTTGCTTCCACATATGCCATGTCGTCTAATACAGTTCGTGATAATCAATATGGTGGTATGCCTTTTCATTCTTGTGAGTGGTTGATTGATAGTGGTGCTTCCCATCATATGACAGGAACCATGTTTCATTTATCTAATATTGAGGATGTTTCTCCTAAACC